GGTTGTGTCGGGAAGGTGAGCATCATAGAATGCCAATTTAGTAGAAGAAAGTATTCTTGCATTGAGGGAGTACTTGAGTGGAGGCCCAATGTCCCTCTGCTACCTTAATACTAAACCTATAAATATAGGCACCTAGATCTATCTGGGTTAGGTATCTTTATGTTGGTAAGTGGTAGGCATATATATATAATTTGGAAAATGTTGTCCTAGTCTATAGGCAGTTTTTGCACTTTCCAACCGTCAGACAATCTCATCCTTTTGGCTACGAGTTGCAAGACGTGTGTGCTCTGCAGGTACCAGCGTGGTCACCGGTCTCTGGCTGCTAATTTGACGCTTCTGGCCCAGAGGCAGAGTGAGCAGATCCTTGAGGAGACACCCGACAGCGAGGAAGATTATGACGTGCCGGAGGAGGTGGAGAATGTGATAGGTGTGCATCTGAGGGGGTGCTGTGAACTACTTGGCACAGTGCCTGGTGCTTCCTGTCACCTCCATTGGCTGCGCCTGATCCCCTGTGTGATCATCCCCACTTTCCTTTGCCTGCCTTCCTCACACAGGGCTGAGCAGGACACAGACCCCAGGGGGCATGTGGAATCTGGCTGAGGGGTCATATGGGATGTGAGGATGCTCATGGAACTTGGGGAGATGGCCTCACACTGGATGGGGACACACAGCCGGAGGTGGGGCACAGGGAATGGCAGGTGTGTGTGTGTGTGTACATGGAACACAAGAGGGGCTCACACAGGATGGAGGGCACATGGAACCTGAGATGGGGGCACACAGGTTGGGGAGGGCACATAGACTGGGACACAAAGAGTAGAGGGCACGTGGTACCTAAGTTGGCATTATCTCTGGATGACGATTCTTTCCTGGCTTCTGCCTTGCAGAGCAGCTGCTGGCTGGACTCAAGGACAAGGACACAATCGTGCGGTGGTCAGCAGCCAAAGGGTATGTGCTGGTCCTTCCACTGGGAGCTGTTCTGGATGTTTCTCCTGTTCTGATGTGCTCTCCTCAGTATTTCCCTCCGTGCCCCGCCTCCCCACCATAGATGGCATGTGTCTGCACTACCATGCCAGTGCCCCATGTTCCCACAGCTGTGTATATGTGCACCCCATGTTGTTACCTCCCTTCTCCACAGATAGGTGTGTGTGTGTGTGTGTGTGTGTGTGTGTGTGCACAACCCATGTTGTTACCTCCCTTCCCCACAGACAGGTGTGCATACCACCCCCCACATTGTGTCCTCACCCTGCTGTCCCCTATTGACAAGCATGTGAGACTTTCTCTAGATGGACTGCTAAGGTACTGGGTGTAGAAGGGTGTGTCCTCGAGCAGGTGGGGGATGAGGGTGGGTCTGGTGCTCCTGGTGTCACTGTGATGTGGAGACCTGGTTCTATGGTGAGATGCTGCTACTGCAGTGCTGATTTGGACCAGCACCTCGGCCCTCTGGCCCTCTGGGCTCATTCCCCTGGGGGTTAGCTTTGGGCTCTTCCAGGCTTTCTCTCCAGGGGGTGGGTATGAGACCTTTCTCAGAGAGAAGTGTACTCTCCTGGGCCAGGGATGTGTGAGTGCCCTGGACAGGTGTGAGCCATGCTGTCCTCTCTCCCTCAGCATCGGCAGGGTGGCCGGGCGGCTCCCACAGGACCTGGCTGACGATGTGGTGGGCTCCATGCTGGATTGCTTCAGGTGAGTAAGACCATCTGTGTGGCACCTCAGCTCTGAGATCGACATTTCTGTCAGAACCCAAAGAGTCGTTATAATCAAACTTGAAAACCATTTATTTGTGACATCTGCTCTTGTTGGCCTGAAATATACCATACTCAAAGGGCAGGAAATGAATTTGAGCAAGGACCAGGGCATATAGACCTGTGGCGTTTGGTAAGATCCAGGAGATCTTACCCCACTTCTTCTAGTAGAAGGCCCCACTCGTTGGAATATTCTTGTTTTGGGCTAACCCATGCAGTAGTTGCTAGCCCTTAAAACCTATCTAGGGGAACCAATTACAGGGATCTACATATAACCTCCTTCCTGGGGGACGGACAACAGAAAAGTAGGTGAAGGGAGACGTTGGACAGTGTAAGATATGACAAAATAATAATTTATAAATTAGCAAGGGTTCATGAGGGAGGCGGTAGTGGGGAGGGAGGGAGAAAAATAAGCTGATGCCAGGGCCTTAAGTGGAGAGCAAATGTTTTGAGAATAATGAGGGTAACGAATGTAGAAATGTGCTTTACACAATTGATGTATGTATGGATTGTGATAAGAGTTGTATGAGCCCTCAATAAAATGATTAAAAATAAAACCCATCTAGTGTGACGGGACTGAAATTTAGGTTTTATTTAATTTTCATGAATTTAAATTCTAATGCTCTAGATGTGTGACTCTGTGTCTTAGTGGCCTTTTGGAGAATTTGGTGTGTCTTATGGTACATGGCCTGTGATGAGGTAGTGATGTGGGTCAGTGAGTTTCGGTTGTGAGCCTGGCACTGCAGTCAATGAAGGGTGAGACCCTCAGACCCATTCTGCTCTCAGAGTGTAGAAGTCGGGGTGGGGGTGGGATGCATTGACACAGTTTTTCATGGGACTGTGCATTTTGCTGTGTAGCTGTCACTCCTTGTTCCAGGAACCAACACCCTTGTATATTGACACTGGGCATTGTAGATGGCCTGGCCCTCCTTAGTGGCTGTGTCTCCTGAAGGCTGTCACAAGTGTGGCTGGGTCACTCTGGAAGCTGTGCTGTCAGCACTTTTTAGCACTCAGGTGCATGTTGGTCACCAGGGACTCGTCAGGCATCTTCATCATTTCACCTCGAGCCTGCTCAGGAGTGCAGGAAGCAGCATGCCCAGTGCTGATCATCTGTGTGACAGCGTGTGCGTGTGTGTAGGTGCCAGTTTAGGCCCCTTTGCTCTGGACTGAGGCCTGGTCCAGGGACAGACCAGACCTTTGCCTCTTTGTGCATTTGTAGCCCGACTCTTCCTAGAGCTTCCTGGCATCAGGATGGCTGCCTTCTAGGCCCAGAACAGGGGCACTTACTTGGGGTGGGCTGCATGGGCCTGCTGTTGTTGAGGCTGCAGCCGGGCCCTCCCCAAGGGTTGCAGGGCTAGCCTGGGTGAGGAGAGGTGCCCAGCCTTCCCTCTCACCACCCCACATACTTCCAGAGCCCTTCAGTTTTCTGAGTGGTATTTTGCACCCCCTCCTCTCTTCAAAGGTGCCCTTCCTCCTCTGTTCTCCCTCATTCTCTCGCTGCTGGGCCTGCTGGGCCCAGCTGGTGTGACCTGACCCCTCTTCTGGACTGGCTATCTGAAGTGCACTGTGGCTTCAGGGCGCAGGCACACTCAAGGCTGCTCGTTCCCACCAGCCCTTCCTGAGTTATGCTCCGCTTCTCGCCGCTGGCCCATTCTACCTTGCCTGCCTGAGTGCACCCTCTGGGCCTCCTGGACTTTGTCTTTTCTGAACTCTGTTCCTGCCAAAGGCATGGCCGCTCTTTCTGCCTGGCATCATGCTCACTTGTCTCTTTGTCCTCCTGCATTGTATGTTGTGGTGGGCTTATCACTACACGGGTCACATATGAGTGGAACCTTTGATGACCGTTGGGGTGGGGGTGGGGCCAATGGTCTCCACAGTTCGTACTGCTAACCCTACTCCTCTGTCACCCCCTCCACTCCCCAGGGTTCCTGGGGCCCCTCCAGGGCACGTGTGAGCAGCAAGCTAGGCTGTACTCACTATATAGGAAATGCCCCCCCTGCCCCCTGTCCCCTGCCTCAGCTCGGTCTGTGCTGGTTTTGTGCTTTCTCTTTGTGTTGGGATGTGAGACCATGTTCCTGGGTCTCTCCTCTTCTTTTCCACTTTGCAGCCTGCTCAGCTTGCTTGCCTGGTGTCTGTGCTACAGGCTGCTAGATCCCCAGATGGCTGTGGGAGGGGAGGAGGTTCTGTGGGGAGCAGTTAGCTTTTGACCCGCAAAGTTCCATGAGGTGGTGCCGGTCGGCCGGTGTGAGAGGGCAGCAACACACCACTCTGGCTTACCTGGGGACTTCACCTCCTTGGAAGAAGGGCACCACCGCCCTCTTGAGGCGTTTCTGGTGGGTGAGTGGAGCGTCCTGTCCATATGTCCCTGTGAGTATTGCAAGTTAGTGAGGCAGCTCAGTTGGTTTCCCTAAACACGTGATGCCATCAAGTTACTGTGTTCAGAATAGGGCCCAGACCTCTAGCTAGCTTGCTCTGCTTCTGCTGCGCTGCTGTCATTTGTTACCCCCACCCTCTGGCTGCGCTTCCCCCTAAGAGTCACTCAGTTGTCTGAACTCCATGTACCTTAATGTTTAATCTTGGATTAGATCACTAAACAATTGGGTGCTTTGTGGAAGAGGGCCCCCTGCCCCCTTTCTGCTATCAGGTTATATTCATTCCTACTCTGATATCCTTGCTCACCTTTGAGTCCCAGAAATATCCCCATTGCCTTCCCTCGAGCGTGCTACTGGATGTGAAGCAGGGATGGGGCTTGGCTCTGGGCAGGAAGGCCGCCTTCCAGATATGCTGAGCATGAGAGAGTGGCCATGCGTGAAAGCGCAGAGAGTGAGGCTAACAAGGAGAGGGTGACCTTGCATATGAGGGTGGGCAGCTGCTCAGTGGCACAGATGTCCCAGTTCCTTCCTCTGTCCGAGGCTGCTGTTGCCGAGTGTTGGCTTGCAGCTATGACACCCTCCAGGGCTTTTGTGAATTCTCCTGAGATTGAACAGTCGCTGGACATGACCACTGTGTTCATCTTCAGTTGGAGTATCTTAGTCGACCTGCATGTCTACAAACTTGCTGATGCGTTCTGGCAGAGCTCTTGAGCCCAGAAGGGTGTCTCTGGTCAGTCTATAGGAACAGACTATCAGCTGGTGTGAAAACTGACCTGGAATTTCTGTGTGCTGTCAGTTTTCAGGAAACCGACACTGCATGGCATGGCGGCTGCCTGGCACTGGCAGAACTTGGCAGAAGAGGCCTGCTGCTCCCTGCCCGGCTGACTGATGGTAAGTGTCTGTGGTGTGTTGGCTTCACGCGTTGGCTGCCGACTCACAGCACGCGGGCTCTGACCGCAGCGGCTGACCAGCTGGCCGAGTCTCCTTGCCCTCACTGATTGCTGGTGTTGGCATAAGAGGACACATCTGACCAGTGTCCCTCAGCCTTGTTTTTGTATTATCATGTTGCTGTGTTCTGGGTCCTGGACCCGTGTGGCCTGCTGGGTATGCGGTGGGCTTGTGTGTCACGCCCCTGAGGGAGGGAGCCCTCTGGTGCCCAAGGTCTCACTGTGACACAGTCACTGTGCCAGGGTTCTTGTTCACGGCCTGCGCTTTTCAGTGCAGCTCGCGTGACATGCCCCCGTGTTGCCTGTGAGTGTGAAGTGACTGAGGAAGGGCAGCAGCTCTTCTCCCCCCTCTTCCCTGTGGGCTGGCCCACAGGCTGGAGGCCCTGCATCCTGTGGTGACATTGCCTGGCACCCCTGCATGGGCATCTGGGTGAGAGGACGTGGGTTCTGGCCCCCAGAAGTGGTTCCTTGCGGCTGTATTTGGGACCTTGGTCTTTGGGTCCCTCTGTCAGGCCTGGCACAGTTAGGGAGAGACATTTCTTGGTCACAGAGTGCTAGGCATTTAAGGTCTTCCCTCTCCTGAGGTGGCAAGGTGGCGGGGACCCACGCCCATGGGCATCCTCGCTAATTCTTTAGGGTCATGTCATGGCAGGGGTCTTAGGCTTCCTCAAGAACTCAGATGAGAGCTGCACTTCTCACAGGTCAGTGCATTTGCGTGTGAGACCTCGTGACTCGAGAGTGGTCACTGGAGGTGAAGCTGCTGCATGGTTTTACGTGTCCAGGGTGGCCCTTGTTTGCCCTCACTGGAGGCCCACCACGGCACATATAAGAGGTCTGTGTCGGTGTCCACTCGATGGCAGTGAGTTTGTTTTTTTTTGTGTGATATAGGGGTTATGTGTTGGGCTGCTAACTGAGGTCAGCAATTCGAACCCACCAGCCGCACTGTGAGAGTAAGAAGTGGCAGTCTGCTCCTATAAAGATTTATAGTTCCAGAAACCATATGGGGCAGTCTTACTCTGTTCTATAGGTCTCTGAGTCAGAATGGATTCAGGACAGTTGTGAGTGTCATACATTTAAATCCTCTCCAGCAGGGATTATCATTCCACTCATACTGCCTGCAGGTGTGCCCTTGTGTCCCCCCTCCCCCGTCACCCTTGGGCACCCAACCCATAGGTGCCCGCCTAGACCCATCCTGTGTCTGCAACAAAAGGAGGCGTATACTTGGAAACTTTAATTTTTTTCCTTTCCTGTGGCCACAGGGTGCTGAATGTTTAAGGTTTTAAAAGAATGTAGAGATAACACTGCACGAAATGCAGCAGAGAGAAGAATTTGTGTCTGAGGGTCACTCCGGGATCTACTTGCCCAAGGGAGCCTACTGTCATCCTAGAGCGCCACATGCAGGCCTGCTCACATTTGCTCTGATGCTGTAGGCTCTCTGGACTGCTTGGTCAGGACCTTTGGTTATGCTGAGACCCAAGAACTGAGAGCAGCCTCTGTAATAGGGTTTTTTCAGGCCGAAGCTGCTAGCGTCCCTGTGACACCTTGGGTGGCAGGTGGGTGGCTCTGGGAGAAAGGGTCATCGTGAAAGGGGGAGTGGCAAGAGCAGAGTGGCAGGACACTGACCACCATCCCCTAGACTATAGGATGAGGAAATTTGCATTCAGAGTTTATCTTCAGAGTGTTCTGAGCCTCAGGACTCTTGTGGGGAATCTGTGACCTGTGACTTCTTTGTCACACATTCTTCTCCACAAGTGCTCACTTGCTCACTCACACATGCTGTCTGCTGTTGTATAGCACAGCACATTCTCCTCCCATAGTCGTCTTTCTCACACTTACACACAGATGTTTTGCTGTGTACAGCATGTTCACCTTGGAAGGGCTCACACACGTTTTCTGTTTGTTACTGTATTGCTCAACACACTTTATTTCACCACAGAGAATCTCACACACACGTGCGCATGTTCTGCCTGCTACTTTTTAATGATACCGCTCCCCAATACACAGTACACACATGTGCTCATGGACACACATACACTTCTTCTCTGTGTGCTGCTTTATAGCACAGCACACTCCCTACACAGGTACACACACTTGTTCACATACACTTGCCCCCACTCATCCCTTTCACCTCCACAATCTCTCATTGTTTTTCACACACACCTATCCCCAGTCTCTCTCACACACATACATCCTCCTACTCTATCACACACATTCCCCATCCCCTACTCTCACACACGCATGTCTTCCCCCATTCTCTCACACATTAATTCCCTCTTCCCCCATTCTCACACATATCCCTGCTCTCTCTCTCTCTCTCTCACACACACACACACACATCCCCCATTCTTTCACACACATGTACCCTCCTCCCAGCTCTCTCTCTCACATGAAGTCCCTTACCCTTCCCACATCCATCTCCTCCTCCCACTTTCTCTCACACACACCACGCGCACACTCACACATTCTCACACACATAATCCCCCCATTCTCTCACATACACACACATACACCCTCACTTTCTCACACATGAATTCTCTCTCCCCACCCCCTTCATCTCCTCCCCCATTGCTCACACATTTGTTTCGGTGCTGTGGACATTTCGTTCCGGAGCATTATGTGAATTTCATGTTCATCTTCACGCTAGGTATCCTCGGAATCCACCTGGGAGTTTATTGGGAATTTGCAATATATACATTCTTGAGGCTGAGTAAGTCAGGACATTCATGTTAACAAGGAATGCACATAGGAGCTATTGGTAATATCATCACCAGTAGAACATTTTCCTCATGGAAATACGTTAGGTGTATAAATAGCCCCTTATTGTTTGTTTCCAGTCAGTAACGGCAGCATTTTTTACATCCAGACTTTAACGTTGGTCCCTAGGTATTTCCCTGGTATTTTTCCCAATAAATGTTATTTATTTCAAAACACACAGCTAGGGTGTATAGAAAAGCAGTTAAAACCATTTGCTCTGGAGCTACGATATTTATAAGAAAAGTATTTGTGGAAGATCTCCTGTGAGATGGTGTCCCTAGAAGTGGCCCTATAGCCCAGGCCTGTTGCCGCCGTTTCCCCAAAATGACAGCAGGAGTCTGTGCTTCTTTGAACCTGAGACATCCCGGTGTATAGACAGATGTGAGGAAGCACCTTCTTCTAACACTCAGCCAAGCATTTGTGCTTGACCACTGACCCTCCAGCTGAGAACATACCACCCCCCCGCCCCCCGGCAGTTCTACTCTGCACACATGGGGTGCCAGCAGTTGGAATTGACTGGGCAGACTGGGTAGTCCCTGCCTTTGTGTGGGCAGGAGTGGCCTGTGATGCGGTGGTGGCAGCTTTGTGATAAAGCAGAGGTGCCAGTCAGTGGTCAGGCGTTGAGGCAGCGGGGTCGTTTCCTCAGCGTGAGCACTCTGGCTGTGTCGTTGGGCTTGGCCCTCTTCACACCAGGTTGGGACTTCCCCGAGTCCTTCTGGCCCCCCCTCTTCTGTGCTTTGGGCTTGACCACCCTGCTGGGGACATCACAGCTCTCTGTGGGGCCGAGTATGGGTGCGTCCTGCTCAGCCTGTGGCCCCTGGGCACTGCTCTCCTCACTGTCCACTCTGGCCTTCCCGGGGCTGTATGCAGCAAGCTGGCAGAGGGCCACTGCGGCTGTCTGCTTCTGCTCATCACTGCTGTCTACTGAGTGCTCGTCCGAGGCCCTGGAGCCCAGGTTCCCTGCTGCTGGCCCTTCCACCGGGCTGGTCTCATTGTCTGGAGGACCCTCTGGGGGGCTGTCTGTGGTGTCTTGCACTACAGCAGGCTCTGTCTCCTGCATAGGGCTGTGGAGTGGCGGCCGTGCCATCAAGGTGTTGCGTGAGTCCCTCACGGACAGGTTGAGGGGCATATCCTGCAGCTCGGGGAAGTCATGTGTGTACCCTTGTCCATGGCCTGCTGCTGCTGGCCTTGTGGAGAGGTTCAAGGGGGCTGTTCCAGGGCTGTCCTCTGGACCCGGAGACGTGGCCTCAGCACCAGGAGAGGTGCCCCCTGTCTGAAAAGGGGGGTCTTCATTCACCGCATCGAGGCTGGAAGAGGCAAAGAGAAGGTTTACTGGAAAGCTGGCCTAGGAGTGCTCTAGGGCTGCTTTGTAAAGCATGTGAGCACAGTTCACATAACCATTAGCCTAGGATGGGGCTGTGGCGTTTGGGGGTGTCTTACCTTCCTGGGGACCCAGCTCTGCACACCATTGCCTGTGGGCTCGGGCAGTCTGCACCCTTCCGGCTGGGCTTGGAGGCTGTGGGTCTTGGCTCGGGTAGGTGCAGCCCTGCTGGGGTGCTGGGGGCTGGTTTGTTCGAGAGGTCATACAGGCCCTCACAGATGTGGCTTGTCTGCATGAAGTTGGTGGGGCTGGGCCTCCCTGGGGAGCCAGTGGCTGCACTGCCTGCCCGAGGGCTCATCTTGGCCCCCTCTGATTCCCTCTGCCCATCTTTGGCGTCGTCCCTGCCTTGGGGACATGGGCTTTCCTTCCCAAACTCGGTGTGCTTCTTGTGGGAGCTGACTGGGGCCAGTTTGGACGGGCTCAGGGCCGGGTAGGCCAGGGTGGTCTCCTCCAGTAGGTGGGGGTCAGACTCTCTCGTGATCCCCGCCACATGTGGGAGCTTGAGACCATAGGTGGAGAAGGCTGAGTCGGGACGGTAGAAGCTATAGGGGAGGGGCAGGCTGGGGTGGTACTGCTGGAAGAAGCGGTAGTGGTCATATGTGGACGGGGTCGTGGTCAGGTGCTTGGGGAGGGGCCCAGGGTGTGGCAGGAAATGTCGGTGCTCCTGTGCTCCATAGACTGACAGCAGGGGCCCATCACCCTCGGGCGGAGCGCTGGGCAGCAGATACGGCGAGTAGATGGTGGCTAGTCCATGTTCTGCATAGAAATGTGTGGGGTATTCTGGGAGTGGGGGCTGCGTGTAGGGGGAGATGGCACTGAAGCCTTTTGTGGATGGGATTTTGTGCGGGAACTCAGGTGGCAGGAAGGGCGAGCCCGCCTTCCAGGGATAGCTGGGTGCGTGGAATGCGGATTTGGCATGGAAGGAGTTGGTCTTGGTGGCAGGGCCATCACTGTGCTCCGGCCCTTGCAATCTGTGCTCCCCCACAGGCATGAAGGCCGATGGGCGGCCTACGCCCTCCAACACTGGTGTGGTGTTGGGGGCCGGGCTACGTGGCCCAGAGTCTTTGTGAAGAGGTGGCTTCTGCGCTGGTGGCTTGTGGGGCGCACGTAACTCTAGGTTATCCTTGGCGTCATCCTTGTTGAAGCCTTGCTGAATTTTGGGCTCCAGGCTCGGGAGTCCATTTGTGGCCAACCTGGAGGATGCCGGTTTGGCATCTGCTGAGCTCATTTGCTTGGGGTCTGCAGATGTGGGCTTTGGGCACTTGGGCAGGCGGTCCTGTTCCGACACGAGCGTGATGGAGTTCTTGCAGAGGCCGTACTTCATGTGGTTGAAGAGGTGCGACTTCTCGTTGCAAGTGAAGGGGCACTGGAAGCATTTGTACTTGAAGGGCTTCCCCGGAGGCCTTGGGATGTAGTGTGGCTTCTTGGGCTTACGTTCCTTGACGAGACTCATCTTCCCTCTGCTTTTGGCCTCCTTGTGTCTCCCTCCCAGCTGGTCAGCGGGTGGGCAGGGGCACGGCACGTCTGGAGGGTGGGCACCTTTCCTTTCTCCCCTTTCAGAGTGCTTCCATCCAGAGCCAGCCCACCTAGTGGGGCCTGTTGGTGTGGGAGTGAGAGCTGTGGGGAGAAGCAGACCGTTAGTGCTGGGGAAGGGGTGATGACAGCTGCCCCTCTACCCACCCGTCCTGTCGTTGGCCACTCTTGGAGCACTGTGGGAACCTGCCCTGGCTTGAGGGACGTGATGTACAGTGGTGTACTGGCCCTTCCTTTCCGAGGCTGTCCTCTCCCTCTGCCCACTTTTGCTCTCCTTCCAGATCTTGCTGACACCCCAACCCTGCAGGGGCCTGGGATCCCCTTGAGCTAGGTTGTGCCTGTCCTGGGCCGGCCTGGAGAAAGGACTGGGTGGAGGCTGTGATAGGGAGATGGAAGTGGGAGTCAGGAGGGGCACTTTGCTTTAAGAACCTCCAGTATCAGCCACAGTTTTGCTCTCCAGTAATGAGACCGTGAGGCTTTGGTCATAAAGCTAGTGCTTCCTTCCAAACTCATGTTGTCGGCGGTAGCGGCTGTTGACCTCTTGGTTTTGACCTGCCATGCTCCTGTGTGTGCAGCATAGAACTGTGACCTTTCAGAGCACCTCTCCAGGCTGTACTGCCATCAACGTCAGGGCTAGGAGTTAGCACTTAGCCACTATATCACCCTGGTACTCCTTTTAAAAGTACAAGTGTGGCTAGGAAATCCACCTGGGAAGCAGCCTTTACAACAGAAAGGTGTGAGGGGTCCGGAAGACTTGCTTCCAGAGTCAGAGGCAGCTGCTCTCGCGCCTGCTGCACCTGCTCAGCAAGTGGGAGTTTCATTCTCGTTTCCCATGTCCCAGGTCTCAGAGCAAACTGGTTTCTCTACTTGTTTATTCACATTTCTTGAAAATGCACATCCTCCTCTCTGTCCACACTGCCTCTCTGTGCCCACTTTTGTTGTCCGTTCTCCTGTCTAGTGCTGACTGTGTGTATGAGGTTCAGGGAGAGCCTGTGCTTTGGCCCACCTGGGACCCTCACCAGGTGTCAGCGGAGCCCCAGCTGGCACCCCCTCCTTCCTTTCTGCCCCTGCAGCTTCCTCACAGGTGCCCTGTCCTGCTGGCTGTGTGTCCATCTCTCCCCTAAACTACAAGAGAGCCCGGAACTCCTTCTTCCGGCCCTCCCCCCTCCCGGTGGGGTTGGACAGTGCCCTGGAGGGTGGGTGGGCGGGTAGCACCTCATCACCTCCCTTGAGGAAGCAGGAGTGGTGCGATTGCTTTCTCTCTCGCTCTTGGGAGGTGGGACTGGCTCGATACTTGGCGGGCGTGTGCCGGCATGCCCCACTCCGCGCACGGGCTCTGAAGGCGTGAGAACCAGTGTGAGTCAGGTTCCCAGGGTTGTGTAGGATCTGCCATGGCAGAGACCTGAAAGCGATGATTTCACCACTGGCTGGAAACATCATGACCAAAATGATGACAGCTGCAAAACGCGTGTCCATTTGAGTGCAGGATCCAGAGAGCAGTGCGGGCAAGCCAGCAGGTTTTCTCCAAGGGGCGGCGCTTGCCACACGCACCAGACTTTATGGGGCAGGTTCTGGGTCAGTCACTGCCATCTCACCAGACAGGAGGGGACTGTATGGAATGAGCTCTTTACACAGACCTGCTGTGTCAGCACTTTCGCTCTCTGGCCTGTTGACTCACAAGAGCAGCCCCTACCTTTTCAAGGGGAAGCAGCTAGTGGTTCTTGTGATGGACCTAGTAGTGACGGTGCGTCTGTGGCGTGGACTCGGGGCTTGCAGGCTTGTTAAAAGGCCCATGTGCTGGGGCTGTAGCTCCTGCGCTCACACAGAAAAGGCAGTGGTGAGAGTTCCCAGGGAGGTTTATGTGGGAACCCAGGCCACAGCCACCCAGGCCTCAGTGACTGTGGCCTCAGCCGGGTGAGACCTGCTCACCTTTGTCTCCCCAGCTGCTAGGAGTAAATATTCTGAAAAAAGGATATTGTTGTCAAAACAGTATTCCAGAACTTTAGTGTTTATCCTGTGTTGGAATTTGCATCCAGGGGTGAAGTTCCGAGGAGCTGCTGGGGCCCTGGGAGGTTGGTACCTGTGCCTGTGCCTGTGGGGAGAGCCCTGTAACCACTCTTGCTTCTTGGGGCTGGCAGTGTCAGCTCTCACATGGAACGTGTGGGATCACCAAAAAAGAAAGAGGCATTGTGATGGAATGGTTCCTACCCTTCCCTCGCTCCAGCTGGGAGCCTGTGTCTTTCTGCTCCCTGTCCTCACCCGGTCCCCTAACGAAGGATGGGAAAGCTAACTTGAGTTCTGCAGCGTCACACTGGATGTTATAAAAGGAAGGCACAGTCCAAAACAAAGCTTTTGGGAGGTGGGACTGGCTCGATGACACGTACCCGGCTCATGACACGTACACTAACTGCCATGGAGCTGCAGTGGCCTGAACACAGCTGGCTGGTGTGGGCGTTCACCAGGCGTCCCAGCCACAGTGGTAAACACCCCTGACCGACTTTACCTGCGAGAAGGGCCGAGGTGGCCTGTGTGGGCTCGACGGCCTTTTTGCATAACTGCCCACGGCTGGGAGCGTGGTTTCGGCTGGCCACAGGCTCTGTTTATCTTGTGTTTAGAGCACTAAACTGCTGATGTAGCAACTCTCAAGAGCTCCTGCGTGCGGACAATTCATGTAGTTGCCAGCTGTTAGGGCTAATAGCGAGTGGCTAGCAGACAAGCATACAAAGTTCCTGAGGGGTCTGAACTTAGAAAACAGACCAGAAAGGGTCTGGTTCTTTTGTTTTCTTTTTTTCTTTTCTGAGCTTTGGTAGAGCACAATGAGGTAATTCTAGCTTAACTTTATAGGACAGGGCTGTGACAGGCTGTGCAACCTGCCCTGCCTCACCTGTGAGCTGCCCCAAGCTGGTGTCCAGCTGCCTGGCAGGGAGCCTCCGGGCAGAGCGCTGTGAAGGGCATACTATAATTAAAATATTGTGATGTGGCGTGATTGCATAACTCAAGGACACGCCACTGTCGCCTACCCACTGCGTGTTGCAAGAACAAGATTTGTGAGTTTTATTCCAATTGAGCTTTTCCAGTGATTAACCACCACTCCCTCTCAGACTTTCGGTTCTTTAAAATGAGGGATACGCTTCAGAATGGCCACTACCGAAGGAAAAGTACAGTGCTCTAGAACCCAGTGTAGAAGGACGAACCCCCAAAGGAGCATGGCCCTTGGCTCCACCCCAGCCTCAGGAGCTCAGCCGATCCACCGCTAGGGCTCCAGAGGGGCCGCCTAGTGCAGTGGAAGGACTGTATTAGTGTAGAACGAAAACACGTTTCACTGAAATGGCGTCTGACTTTGGTCAGAGTTGGCCAATAGTTTGGTCAGTAACTGTTCCCTTAGAGATCTATGAGCAATTCCAGAAAAGGAAAAAAAAAAAAACCAAAACCTTTTTGATTAAGCTTTGCTTTTCTATGCTTAAGTCTAGAGAGTACATATTTTAAACTTTAAAAGGTTTTAACGTGAAAGAAACTAGACATTAACACCAGTAGCAACTCTTTTATCATAGATCTCCACCAACATGTATATTTATGCTCCATTTTCGTGTTGGAATGTATAGTAGCTTCCTTTCAAGGTAAGGAACAGGTTAACACCAATCTAAATTTGCTGTGGGGTTTACATTTTAGGGCCTTTAAGCAAGAAATGAGGACGTGATAGTCAGGTAAAAGTTTGTGTTCTTAATCGAGCACAGGTCTCATTAAGCCTGGTTTCAGTGGCTCCCTCCCATCAGTGCACCTGCCAGGTCCTGAGTGATCCTTGGAAAGAAAGAGCCAGGCGCACAGCTGGCAGGTGCATTTCCCCCAGACCCTTTGCGATACACCCGAGAGCCGGAGAGCCGTTCGGAGAGCACAGGTACTTACCCGCCTGGGGAGGTGCAGAGGGTTGCCGGCTGGCTGTCGCTGTGCTGACAGTGCCCAGGAGAAGCTGTACCTGTTCTCACTGACTGCAGGTGAAACTGGAGCCGGCTCTCCCAGTGGGAGGGGTTTAAGTGTAGGAGTTGAGCCCTCAGGGCATAGAGATGCACCTGATATTATTCCTGCCTGCAGCTAGGCTTCGTGTGTTTGCAGCAAGGTGCCGCTCTGCTCAGCATTACCTCAGCCTGCCCTCCCGAGCCAGTCCTGAGTGCTGCCTGCTCTAGGGGGCTAGGTGTGCTCACTCAAGCAGGAATTCACACCGTGTAGGCTGGGCTCAGAGAAGTCCCTGATGGCATAATAAAGACATCCGTGTGAAACTTGGAGACTCTCAGGCTTGTCTGTGTAGCTGCAGGTAAATTCCTAGATCGATTCTGCCAGGTGTGTGCCCCAGAGCAGGAAGGATTGTCCATTCAGGGGGCAAGCAGCTTGGACCCTTGTTCAGTTACTGACCACCCCTCAATGAACACATGTACGTATGCATGTGTGCGCATGCATGCCCACAGCTGCATGAGCCTTGGGACGGGGTCCTTGAGAGTCAGGCACATGGAAGTCATCCTGGCTGCGCACAGGGACCTGCTGAAGCATGCCCTGAACAGCCCTGGCCCTGGCTGGTGAGCGGTGGCACAACTGTGGGAAATGGGTTCTTCCTGACTTCACGTTGCTTCCTTTTAAAAACAGCTACAGCACTTCATTTTTGAGCCCCTTAGTTCAAGTCTCCCCCCTCCCCCCCAACTGCTTGCTTTTGTCCTGTGGAGCACCACCCATTTCTCATGGTTGGATTGTAGTGTGGGTTTGGGGACTGGGTATGAACGTGTGTGGAGCCCTTGTTTGTCTTCAGGGTGCAGGGACAGGTCTGCCAGACCAAAGTGGTGGTGTATTTTCTTATTTATGACTTAAAAAATGTCCCTTGGCTTTTCCTTCAGATGGCATTCTTTACCTCACCCCACCCCCCAAATGCTTTTG